CTGCCCCTGCTCCTGCTCGCCCCCTTCCTCGTTCTCCATTTCCTCACCTTGGTCCTCAGCAAGTTTCCCGAGTGGGGATCAGCATGAAAGAAACCATCATCGAGCAGCTGCTTCAGGTTGCACTGGACCCCAATGTTGATCAGCTCCGCCCACTTTTTCCTCTCCTCCTCGGTCGCCGTCACTTTTCTCCTCTCCTCCTGCGTCTCCGCCCATGGCGGCTTCGCCCCCTCAATCCACTCCATCACCATCACCCTCCTCGTGCAGAGCTCCTCCTCCACCTCCGGTACCACCAGCCCGCTGATCTCCCCATACAGCTCCTTGAATCTCCGCGCGTTCCTTGCTTCTTGCCGGTAGTCCACCTCCTCGAACAGACGCTCTGCAAACTCATCCAAGATTGCCGACAGGTCCGATCGCAGCTTCATGCTCCTCTTTGCCACCCCCGCCATCCCTCGTAAGATGTACATATCGATCGGCATCGTCTGCGTCAGCCCCGGCCGCTGCACTTTCACTGCTACATCCCTTCCTTCTCCTGCTGCTCCTGCTGCTCCTGCTGCTCCCCTGTGCAGCCTGGCCCTGTAGACCTGCCCGAGGGAGGCGGACGCGACTGGCTCAGGCGAGAAGAACTCGAACAACTCCTCCACCGACCTCCCGCTCTCCTCCTCTATGATCGCCATCGCTTCCTCCGTAGCAAACGCACCGACGTTGTCCTGCAGCTGCTGCAGCTCCTCCATGTACTCCGCAGGCACCACGTCCGGCCTGTTGCTCAGCGCTTGCCCGATCTTGATGCTGGTAGGCCCAGCGTCTGCCAGCACCCTCCTCAGCTCTCTCGCCCGCTGCTTTCTCAGCTCCTTCCCCTTCCTGCTCATCAGCAAGTCCAGGGCCACGTTGAGGAGCCACTTGCCGACGGGAACACCGACCTCAAGCAGGCGAACGAGGACAGGGATGGGGTTGCGGTCGTAGTATGCTTTGATCTCCGATGGGGAGTAGGTGAGGAAATCCTTGGCGAACAGTCTTCCTCCTGATCTCGCCCTCCTCCTCCTCTCCTCTCCTCCTCTGACCTCCCCCCTCGCAGCCTCTTCAATCCTCCCCTCCCTCACAACCATGGCGGGGAAAGGCATACCCCCTTCCGTCCCCTTCACCCTCTTCGCCTCCTCATCCAGGAAGCGCTCGAGACCTCCCTCCTTCAGAAAGACTTCAGAGATGTAGGGGGAGTCAGCCTTAGCTCGATCTTCCTCCTCCTTCTCCTCCTCCTTCTCCTTCTCCCCCATGACCATGTGGGTCCTGGCATCAAAAGTCCTGTCCTCGTACATCTCCTCAAGGAGCCAGGAGGGAATCTCAACCTCCGTCCAAGGCTTCCATGCTCGTTTCATCTGCGGCACGAGCTTCCCCTCAATCATAGCTCCCTCCTCTCCCTCCTCCCTCCCATCCACCAAGTGCACCCTGGGGTCTTGCAACGCTGAGAGCCTGCAACGTCCTCGACGAACCCTTGCTCCTCCCCGCGCCATGGCCACCCTCCTCTCCATGTGCCGCAGCTGCAGAGTTGGGGTTGAGGTGAACGATTGGGCAGTCGGCACGAGCGACATGGCGGCTAGAGCGATGCAAACAAGGGAAGATCTCCAGGGCATGGCAGCGGGAAACATGTGCCTTGACGACAGCTGTCTGTCCGTCTGTCCGTCTGTCCGTCTGTTACCAAGTCCTCTTGCTGACGA